GCCCGGCTCTCTCCACAGTGGCCGGCGCAGTATCCAGAGACTGCAGAAGGGGCTGCGGCGCGCGTTGTCGCCGCTGGGGGCCCAGCTCTCTCCACAGTGGCCGGCGCAGTATCCAGAGACTGCAGACGGGGCTGCGGCGCGCGTTGTCGCCGCTGGGGCCCGGCTCTCTCCACAGTGGCCGGCGCAGTATCCAGAGAGTCGCCGCTGGGGGCCCGGCTCTCTCCACAGTGGCGAGTCGAGGTGACGAGCATCTCATCAAACTTTTGCATACTTGGATCGCTTTAGCACAGCCGCTCTGGTTTGGCGAGTCGACGTGACGAGCTTGACAGACTATGGCGATACGCTGCTGCGAGAAGATCAAAAAATCACCGCTGCTTCGCGTTTCCATTCTATTGTTGGAGTTCGATCGTTTGATATGCTGGATGCTTTGTGACATGGATCCACCTGCCCGGTAGCCAGTCAGACCTGATCCATCGTTTCTCGGCCTTGAAACCTCTTCAGGCCGACCTGTTGGTCAAGCAGACGACGGTAGTGATTCCATGGAGACTGGATCTCTCGCTTTGCAGCCCAGCCTTTCAGGAGATCTACGGCCTGCTGACCAAATTGACCGCCAATGGCCTGACCCAGTTGATCCTCCTCAGGCTGAGACCTTCGACTCTACAGAGGTCACCACTGGCCCAAGCTGTGGCCCACTGCCTGAAACGATGAGGCAGGCACTCTTGCAGCTGGTACTTGGCAACGAAGCCAATGACTGCTATGTCAACTCGGTAGTTCAGGCTGAATTATGGAGATGCTGCATGGACAGCAATTTTCATTGGCAAACCATGGATTGTTGGAACCTGCCTCTACAGAGGGTTCTTGGTCATGATACGAAGGTTCAATGGCTCACAGATCCTCATGTGTTGGGCACCTGCCTTGCTCCTTGGTTTGCGGTACATGCTAGGGATGAGCAGCAAGACGCTGCTGAGTTTGCGGGTTGGTTGAGACAATCCCTTCATCAGGGAAGCTGTCAAGACCTGAGCAGAGCACCATGTTGGGAAGCCAGACTCGAGCAATCCATAGAGGACTGGGGTTTGACCTTTGCACCGATTGTGCTGAGGCAAGAAAAGTCAGTTTGCAGCAGCTTGCAAGAGCTGATTGAACTTTGGTCGAACCAGCTCCCTTTTAGATACGGAGTGAACTCTTGGACCACAAATGTTTGCTTGCAGGTGAACCGTTTTCCCACCGTGGGCGTTCGATCCAAATTCCAGATTCAATGGAATCGTCACAAGATTTTTCTTCCGGTGTTCATGTACGACACTGGATGCGCCACCCGCTGGCTAGAGTTCAGGATCGTGGCCACCGTCCTTCACCGAGGTGAACTGCCCTCTTGTGGGCATTACCAAGGAATTTTGCACACAGGCGGAGGCCGCTTTTTGGCAGATGATCACACGGTTCCTGTCGCGTGTCCCCACCTGCCAGAGATGGAGACAGATGCTTACATGTTTTGGCTAGTTGCTAAATCTTCATTGACCTCAGCATTCGGCAAGATAGTCGAACCTCGGAACCCCTTTGTTCCGATTCGTTCCTCACAATGATGCTACTTTGCCGCCCGGGCAACAGCTCACGAAGCTGCCGATCGTTAGTTCGATTACAAGCCTAACACGGGCTGAGATCACTCAGCCGGCAGAGAATTAAAATGAATAATGGGGGGTGCAATTCAGTGACCTCCGCTTTTGAGCGACATGATGACCGCGCCCTAGCGATAGAGACCAACATCAAGTAAGTTGGTCTATGAACTTGTGAGCCTGCAGCTGTATGTCAGAGAACATCAAAGAGCATTTGAGCGGACCATCCGTGAGATATCCAGGCTCGAAACACGCAACCCGTGCAACATGGAGCCATACGACGATGCGATGTCTGCTGCCTGCGCTGCTTTGCAACGGATGATTGAGAGCAGTTTGGACATGCCGATCGAGGATCAGCCAACACTCGACCGGCTTTTGGCAGCGCACCAGTATCACTTCGCTGATATTTCAGATTGGCCACATCTGTGAAATACTTCCTGGGGAGATGATGTCTTTGGAACCGCCTGAGATCTACTTTCTCGGGAGCTTGGCTGCCTGTCGCCATCTCCGGACTCACCAGGAAACTGTCCCACTTTCCTATCGCAAGGTGTCGGTTGTCTTGAGCTTTTGTCCGCGGGAGATGAAACGTATTCGTGGACAGCCAGAGGTGGGCTGGAAAGCGCGGTTTGAAGATCTCCAGATTCGGTGGTTTACGTTCGACGTGGACGATCCCAGAACATACTTGGATGACACCAATACTTTTTGTCAAGAAGTGGGAAATGCCTGGTTGTCATCGTGGATGGACATGTGCTGCGCTCTTCTGAAGCACTTGAAGGCAACGACTCAGCGAGAAGAACGAGGCATCCTCTTTCATTGCTTCGGCGGGGTCAACCGCAGCTCAGCGGCATTGTGCGCGTGGTTGATCTTTCGTCGTCAGCTCTCCGCGGAAGCGGCTGTGCAGAGCTTGTTGACGGCCCGTCCCACGCTTCACCCCTGGAAGCATCGGCCGCATGTCTTCTGGGCATTGCGTACTTGGGAGAAGAACCTAAATTCCTTTGTAAGACCTCGCATTTTTGCTGCAGTTCAAGAACTGTGAGCTAGCATGCCGGCGAGTCGACGTGACGAGCTGGACAGACTGTGACGATACACTGCTGCGAAAAGAATCGAAAACAACGCTGCCTTGCGTTGCATAACGACTGACGGAGTTCGTTTCTCAAAAGAATTGACACTGACCAAGTTCGTTTCTGACATCGACACTTCTGATGTCTTGTGCTAGCCTCCGCCTTCAGTGTTGCAAATATATACTCACTGTTCGTGCGAGTTGACCGGAGCTCAGGTCCTGCCTGGAGCTCACTCTACATCTCTGCGTGAGAGAAAAAAGCGTGTCTCACCTCTTCTTGCTTTACATCCTGCTAACACTGCCCGCCGTGGTCGGGATGAGACCACTTGATAGCTTTGATGGTCGTTTCGAGTGTGTTACGTTTTGAAGGTCGCATGCGGATCTGATGGCAAAATCCACAGCCTCACCCACACACACACGCACGCCATCTCACTACACACACACACCTCCTCCCTCCCCTCCTTCTCATCCTCGTCCATCACATCATCACTTATACTGCACGTCTGAGCATAACCGCCTCACACTTCCTTCTTGACTTTTCATCTCACTACTCCGTCTCCCAAGTGATGTTCATATACAGTTGAAATTTGTAAAACTTATCATGTGGGGTTATCCGGTCCTTTTATTTTTGTGTGTGTGCTTTTTTCATGCAAGTTTAACTTTTTGTCTCTTGAACTGCGTTTGATTTGTTTTCTCCTGATCACGGTCTTGGAAAAGACCTCTTCGGTCTTTTTCAACGGAGGGAGGATCGTCACCGTCATGAAGGAAGAAGGCACCGGGTCCAGGGTGGCCCAGGTATCAACAGCTGTGACAGAGGCACGGTGGCCTGGACGATGGCCGAGGTTCAGAGGTGACCAATGGCACGGTCGGGCCTCCAAGGTCGGCGGTCTGGATTTCTCATCGGACTTCCTACTGGGTGCCCAGTGCCATCGAACCTCTGAAACCACTGTAGAAAAAGAAACGGTAGCATAGCTGTGTTGAATGGGACTTGGGCCTCGACGGGCCTAGATGGGCCCTTAGGGTTTGGGTTTGCTTGTTCGTGGGGGAATTCATCAGCCTTTAGGTCCGGTTTTAGGATCGTCCGATGTTTTTACTCGTGGCATAGGTGAGTTCGCTTTTCGCACGCTGCTGCGCCCTATCGGGGGGGTGTTGGTGCATGGATTTGGGTTAGAGGAAAGGGAGACTCCAACAAAACACGAAAGCTCCGTCGTGCACGTTGCACGCATGGCTTAGGATATATGTCTCAATTCCACGTGCCCATGCCACTTGGCGTTTCCCGCCGGACGAGGGGGGGAGAACTGTTTCGTTGGATGGTTTGGTTGACATCACGAAGAAAGCACGGTACACCCTGGAAGAGACCCAAAAACATAGGGTTTTGAGAGTCCAGACCCCTGATGGAACCTGAGTTCACCACGTGGGCGTTGGTATTCGGAACATCGTCTTCCGATTTCGATAAGTCACTTCCGGGGTGTTCTTTTCGGTGCATCGCTGCTGTTGTTGTTGGTTGTTCGCTGCTGTATTTGCACGTCACTTCTTCGGTTTGGGGCTTCATTGTTTAAGTGTGTTTAAGGGAATTATTGGTTATGGAGCCATGTTTTTTGAAGCGTTTCAACACTTTAAAAAGCCACAGACGTTTCTCTTCACTACTTTTTTGTTGCAATGGTTGATAAGAATGAGTAATGACTGTACAACGATCCTTTAAGTCATTTATCCATGTGATTTCTTTTTTTTGCTAGAGGCTATGTGAAAGAAGAACTGAAGGTGAAATTATTGGAGCACCTTTTTTGCATTTGCCACAAATCATCGACGCTCTATCGTTGCAGACTCTAAGAATGCTTCTAGATCTGAAGCTCTCGAGGTGTCTACAGTTCCGGGCTTCGCCAGTTTCTTGGGACGTAAACAGCATCCCAATGATGTGTGTCCCAGCAAACCAGTAAGAGGAAAGGCAAAAGACAATCACTATTTTGGATAATGCCCTGGAACCTAACCATCACCATCCACTGTTACTGGCAATACGGAGACGCCCACCTTAGTATCCTAATGCCTCTCCTAATTAAGCGGGGTACTGATCACTCCCAGGCAAACTGATCTCCTATGGTCCACTTCTGGGCCTGAGATGCAAATACATCCAAGAATGATCAAGATTATTTGCTTCCCAAAAGTTCTTCTTGTTTCCCGATGATCCGATGTGCCAAAAGTTCTTCTTCGTGGCAACCAAGAAACTCAGGTACCTTTGCAAGTCCGCCCCCCAAACAGAACCCAAAACAAAGCGACACCAACATCACGGACGGAGAGCGCGTTTTGCGCGCGTAGGTCAGACGTCGACGTCGCCTGCGCAGGCAGGTGAAGATCTGTGAGATCTGGGAGCCCATCGAAGCCGAGCGAAACGACGCCGTGCTCTATGCCTCGAACGTGCCCCTCGTTTTTCTTTGTGCAAAAGGAGTGGTTGGCCGCTGTGTGTGTGTGTGCAACAGCGCAAGAGTAGGGAACAGGAAGAGGCCGCTGTTTTCTTGTTGGACATCAAGGATCAGATCTTATCGAGGGTTTATCGAGGGTTACCGTCCGAATCTTAGGGCATTGTGAAGGTTCTAAGAAGCTCCAGCCTTGTTTGGAGTCTGGAGCGGCTTTCGAGTTCGAACGATGAGGATGTCCCTGGAGCACTGCTTGGCTTAGGGGGAATTTACTTCAACTACTCTTTTGGAAGGTCACTACAGTGGAAGTGCTGGACGACCCATGATTCCTGGGTGAATATCCTGCGATCGCAGCTATAGTAGGGGATCTATCTAACTGGTATAGTGCACCCCAAGCTACAGGTGGAAAGGACCTTCATTACGAAAGCCAGCCTTCGTAGAAGGCGCTAGCGGAGTTGTGTCTGGCGAACGAAGTGAGTAGTTAGGGGGTCTGGGGGGGGTGGCCCGAGAAAGGTATACGTCAACTCAGCACATGCTGGGGGAGGAGGGTGCTCCGAGGGAAGGTTTTTTGAGGTTGTGTTGGAGGTGATTTTTGAGGGGTGGTGATGCAAGAAATGCCAAATGCATCATTTGCATCATCTGAATGGAAAGGTGTAGTTGGCACCTTGCAAGGTAGAGAGACCTAGGGTAGCTATAGTGCAGCTACCAGGTATAGTACTTCAAGTTCCCTTTCCGTCAACCGCTTGAGAACCTCTACACACGCACAGCAATCCACAGCCTTGAAGTCTCATTCGTGCTTTGAACTTGTATAGGTGTGTAAGAGGTATAGCAACATACTATTTATACGGACCCAGGGTAGCTACAAGTAGCTACAGTTCTGGTATGGCGCGCATGAGGCTTCAAAGCTGTGGTTTTCAAGCTAAAGTCAAGGTGGCCTGAGACCAGGGTTTGCTGCCCTAAAACACTCTGTTCAGGCCACCTTGAAAATAAAG